ACTTCTTTAAAACCATTTTTCTTTATTCTTTTATAATTTTACCACTTTATTTTTACTTTTTTATAATTTTGCCATTAAAGTTTCAACAAACTCTTCCTCTTTATAGTTTTGGTACTTTATTTTTACTAATTTTACCACTAAAGTTTCAACAAACTTTTAATCTTTATAATTTTGACACTTTATTTTTACTTCTTTATATTTTTGCCACTAAACTTTCACTCGTGCAACGCACGGGCCTTTTCCTAGTTATTATTATTAGAAGAAGAAGAAGTTACAGAGATGATCCATTTGGTTTGTAATAGTTTACGGTTTTGATCTCTAACCTTTTTTTTTCGTAATTCGAACCGTCTCTATACAATGATTTTGTTACGGTTTTACCTTACACCTCTTATTGATACGTTTCCGAAGAGCTAACCAATCTATCATCTACAACTTATATCATGGTCTATATCTTTCACGTCTAGCTACCAAACCCCAACCCTTAGAGCATGTTTGATCTGAAAAAAAAATATATTGAAAAATATATCGGCAGAAACCTTTGCCTGCTTAGAAATGGATACATAATGACCACCATGAACAATGACGATAACAACAGCTACATGATCTAGGATGTCTTAGACCATCCACAACAGTGGATGAGGTTTGTCTTTCAATTTATTCTTGCAAATGACATGGAATACCCCATCGTATTCATCTTATCAGCTAATTTAATGACTAGGTGTCTAAGTCAGCAATGAAACCGATAAAATGTATGTTACATGAAGAAAATGGTCAAATCATCAGTAAATTTTATTTAGGACTTATTCGCAAATTAGGGTAAAATAATGAGACTTTAGTGAAACATATAAGTAATAAAACCGGAATACCGGAAAAAATGGGTCAAATCGTCATTTTTACCGGTAATTCATGCTTTTCGTAAACAAATTTTAGTTTAGGACTTTTTCGTAAATTAAGGTAAAATTTTAGGACTTTTCTGGAGATTTCCACATATATATATATATATATATATATATATATATATAAGTAATAATCTAATAAGATGGTCCCATTTAAAGGTTTTGAAAGCCTTGCAGCAGAAAGAACAATGTGATGTAGCTCTTGATTTATGTCTAGGTGGCATTTGCAAGAAGTAAAAGAGCACTGTGGTTGCTCTTACAAACCAAAACATGGCAGGAAACACGTCGATGAACCTCTTTTGCTTAGAAAATGAACGGTAATATTATCTGTGTTTTGCAATGAGAAAATGTGTTGCAATGAGAAAAGCATTGTCGTGTATAATAAGCCAATGTCTAGTTACCGCAAAACCAATTCAAATTCAATGACTTATGTTGTTGAAAATAATCTTTATTAAATCAACGAGTATTCTTCGGTCTACGGTAATAACTCGTTGCATAAATCCAACCAAATATTACGCTATCATTTTCGCAACAGAGAGAAATAGCCATTGCCTGGAATCCACAATTTAACATATAGGAATTGAGAGTTCATACACCACCATATGCAACTTTTGAAAATCACAGGGCATGTCAATTTTAAACGTTAGACTAAAACTGCAGATGGAAATAATAACACCCTAAGAAAACCCTTTCGAAAATTATTATTTATGAATTGATTATTATTAAAATACATAAAAAATTATTAATATCAATAACTTTGTAATACAAGAATGATATGTAGAATGAACATATCATTTTCCAAATATGTGGTTGCAAGAATATTTTGAGTTTTATACATAGTATCTTGATAATATATATCATGATTTGTAAAAACATATACTTCAGCAATCCAGGGATTCCCATTTCATAAAAAAGATGCATAATAATTACATGATTTCAGTTAAGTTACGGAAAATATGTATTGAGATAGCTTTAAACGGTCAAACATCATTTTCCAAATGAAAGATCAGAAATGTCATAAACAGAAACCCAAGAAAAAAAAAATCAAAACTACAATAGATAAGTGGACTAAATAAAATAAAAGATGCATCAAAATCTCCCTCGCCCCCTACTGAACCCACCACCACGTCCACCACCACCACGAAAGCCACCACCTCTGCCGCCTCTCGGAGCACCTCTGCCACGGAATCCACCACCACCCCCACGCCCACCTCCTCTTCCACCCCCACGACCACCTCCTCTTCCACCACTTTGTGCTCCCCTGTAAATTCAAACCTCAAAAACCACAAACAAGACAACACCAAATCCAATATAACAATTAATTGAAAAGACACATACTTTGGCTGTGGAAGAAATCTGGCTAATGGTAATAGCTTCATTGGGTCAATGTAGAACTTATCACCAGCACCATAAGAAGTTGCTACAATACCTTCCATCATTTTAACTGAGAAGAACTATAAATTTTAGCAGAAAGAAGAACACATATTAGTACAGACTAAAGACACCAGCTTTTAACTAAAAGCTCAAGGAAAATGGCGAATGCTCAAGTCTCACTCACTGATTCATTGATTGGACCAAAGATTTCATCAACTTTGCCTATTTGAGTTTTATTTTGAAGATAAATTGGGGCATTGAAGTAAGGTATTTTCTCATTCGTGAGCTTTGTCACTGCATCTCCCTCACAAGCATGAACAAATGACGAAACCTCTGCACAATTAAATTCAGAGTCAAAATCCCAGATTAACATATCAAACTCATCGGATCTATAAAAAAACAAACAGTTCGAATGTTTAAAAATGCAACGGCATAAATGAAGGTGGCTGTTCACTTGTTTGAGCTCGACGACACATACGTTGACAAGATAATCAACATCATGCGGATCAAATCTGTAAATTAGGTTTTTTTAAGCATTGTTAAAGAGAGGAAGGAGATGATTACGAACCTACAACTTCCTCAGGGGGACCTTCGTTAAACCGGTCACCACCGAAACGGCCACCACCGCCACCTCTTCCACCACGGCCACCTCCGAATCGGCCTCCACCATCCCTGCCGCCCCTGAAGCCGCCGCCACCACGACCCCGACTACCGAAACCGCCGCCTCTTGGAGGTCGCATTTTGTTGACAGCAGACGAATAATAACACTAGGGTTTTGTTAGGGTTTAGAGTATTTTTGGCTGCCTTGAACTTTTGCCTCTTTAAACCAACTAAGGTTTGGTTTGTGAATAAGTCGGTAAGAATTATTTTAGTATTGTTATTTGTTTTTATAGATTACGCTTAAAGATGGCTCACAAAAGTTTATATACAAAAATACAATCTATTTTTTTATAAATCAATTTATTTTCGTTTAAGTTTTCCATTATAACAATTAGGAAAAAATCAATT